AAACACAAACTGTAGAAATCACATGAACTCAGTAGTTAAACAATGTTAAAATATCGAAGTCAATTCAGAAGACAAATGAAAGTAACACACACAAACTGTGGGAATCACATGAACTCCATACAAATTTCGAGTATGATTATCGTTCTCAGACTCAGAATTCAACTATTAGTAATCAAAATAAATTTTGTGTTTCGAGCACCAATTGTGTACTCCGACTACTGAGTAAAGTTTTATGACCGAGAGTTTAGGTTCGCTGTGTAAGCGTCTTCTGCTTTGCATGCATTCAATATCGTCATCGGTAAATTTACCAACCACACGACTATACTGATACCTAATGATATTTAATATTTAAGACTGTGCACTCATGTCGCTAGTGAGTTGAGACACATAAATATCGTATTGGTGAACCTATTCGTGATGGTGACCATAAAACTCGTGTAGTGTCGATTTCAGTTATTCTTCTTCATAACACTGTTGTAGCAGTTTTATGCATACCCCTGCTTATAAAGTTCGTGCGGTTTGAACATACACCAGCATAACGTATTAATTGAGATATGTAAATACCATACGATGAAGCAGGGGATGTGCTTCTACTGATTAGAAATTTGAATTATATCGTAAAATTGAAATAATCACGTTTGTTATGTATTGTTAATGATAAATTCCAATTCTTCAAACGCCTTCAGTACACACCAGTGATAAAATACACCTTATCGTTATTTATTCCAATTTAGATAGTTCTGAAATTACGCATCTTTTTCATGACGCCATAAACCAGAAGACGCTATCTGGGGCACTGTTTAAACAATATATTGTACATATAACGTCGTTAAGAGAAATGTTTAAACCATCGTAAACACTCAAAACAAAGCATTTTTATGACTTTAATTTGTGTTTCATAAAATTCGACCATTATCTATCAAAATATTTAAATGTTCACTTTCTCAAAATTTTTCTCCCTCAGTTCATGTTTAATGACCTTTTTATGTGACACTTGACCAAAAAGGAAGTTGTCTAAGCGACTGTTTTTTTTCTTTTTCAGATTGGACTAAATAGCGATATATTACATGTCAGCTGATCGGCAACGTCATGATTTGTGTGGGCTGTTCCGATCATACTCTCACTTTATATGCCATTTTATGAATGAGATACCCGAGGTCAATCGGTTAAAAAAAACTCATCATAATCCAGATTACCAGGATTGAAATTTGTACGCCAGACTCGCGTTTCATCTTCAAAAGACTCATTCGCGACACTCGAATAATAAAAAAATAAATAAGGCAAAATATAGTACTAAGTTGAAGAGCAATAAGGACCCAAAATGGCGATATTAAACAATGACGTAAGCGTATATGTATTCTACGGACAAATGCACAAATATGAAACTGAAAGTCACTAAAATACGGAAACATAAACATACGATGAAAAAAATTTGTTGAAATAAAATTGACAATGGAAATGGGGAATGTGTCAAAGAGACAACAACCCGATCAAAGGGCAGAAAACAGCCGAAGGCCAACCAATGGGTCTTCAACACAGCGTGAAAATCCCGCACCTGGAGGCGGGCTTCACTTGGTCCCTCAACAAAATGTCTACTTGTTCAGTGAAAATGGACGTCATACTAAATTCCAAAACATTAAAATTAATTAAAATTAAAAAAAAACATACAAGACATACAAAGGCCAGAGGCTCCTGTTTTGTGAGAAATCAACCCTCCCCTATACCTCTAGCCAATGTAGAATAAACAAACACACAGCAATACGCACAGTAAAACTCAGTTCAAAAGAAGTCCGAGTCCGATGTCAGAATAGGTAACAAAAGAAACTAAGCAAAATGACAATGATACATAAATTAGCAAACGACTACTAGCAGTTACTTAGATGCCAGCCCCAGACCTCAATTAGACTGATTAAAAATTATGTCTTCATCATATGAATATCAAGCACAATCCCTCCCGTTAAAGGTTTAGTATCATACCATCATCAAATATATGAGAAGAACATAACCCGTATCATACCAACAACTGGTTTTAGAATAAATGTGTTTATTTCCGATGCAAAGACCCTATGAGTGAATCAATATTAATACCAAAATATGCCATCTTAAATGACCTGACAACAGTATCGTAACTATATCCCTTCTGAATAAGTCTGTTTAAAGGTTTGGTTAGCTTTTGAGGTGAATGCCGACATTTTTGTGCTTTGTGTAGAATATTACCATAAAAGATTGGATGTGAAATACCTGAACGTATAAGATGTCTGCATGTTGATTTATATTTACGAATGATGTCCTTGTACCGATGATAAATTTAGTAAATGTTTTGACTAGTTTGTGATATCGAAAACCCTGGTGTAATAAATTTTCAGTAATACAGAGATTTCTTTCGTTAAAATCAAATACGTTGTTACATACGCGAGCGAATCGAACAAGTTGAGATATATAAACACCATAAGATGGTGACAAGGGAACGTCACCATCTAAAAAAGGATAATTAACAATAGGAAATAAAAAATCATCTCCTTTATCATAAATTTTGGTATTAAGCTTCCCGTTAAAGATATGAATATCAAGATCCAGAAAAGGGCAGTGTTCATTGTCAGTATTAGCTTTATTTAAAGTCAGTTCAGCAGGATGAATCTGTTTAGTATACATACTGAAGTCGTCATTATTGAGAGCCAATATATCGTCCAAATATCTAAAAGCAAATCTTCTTAATTAAAGGTAAGGTAATCAATTAACTTGGTCCAAACCTGTCTAAGTCAAATCGTTGAAGCATGTCTCTAATTTAGTTTTCTTCCCCCTTTACGTCAATATTACTAGTTTGATTATTTACTGGAACAGCAAATGCTTACTTTCAGCTAGAGCGCTTCAATCCAAAAGACTTGCCGTATTTGTCCTATTAGAATAGAAAAAATTCATTATGTTCATGGGGCTTGGATTTTTACTGATTTTACCTTTCTAACGCTCGTGGTAAAATATTTCGCTTAACTGGCCAATCCGCAATAAAATCAGTATTATTCAAGCTCCCATGGATTATATCTTAATTGAAAAATGAATGTGAAAGAAAAAATGGTAGTAATTATCATATATTTTAAGTTGTTTGGTTACGAATTATTTAAATATAAAAATAACGGTTTAACAATAGCAAACTATTTTTTGTTCAGTACGTTTTAAGCCAACTATTCTTATAAATGATAAGTGCTCCCGACGCTGCATTGTAACAAAACATGTTAGCATCAATTTCTCGTTAATGTTTTATAAGTCGACTTCCACCAATTGGAAATAAGCAATTTTCAAAGAACACGAATTGAAACTCTTCAATATAATATAAATATCTAAGAACTACATACCTTAAAAATTTGAAAGATAAGCTACATGTATATCATTCTTATCACTGAATAACACACATTTGATTTAGAGACAATACTATGAGTCCTTCTAGTCCTCTTTAATGACTTGTATGCTGCAACATAGGCAAGAGATAACAAAATGTGTTACTGAGAATAGATTTTGTCAAGCTTTAAGCTTATCGCTCGCTTTTATTCAGATCGTGTTTTCATTTCAAATTCTATCATACTTAAGGACTTAACAGTTTGTCAATAAGACAGCAACCAAACGACAAAAGTAACAAAAAAATTCTTCCGATCTAACTGTCCATAAAGTATTTTCAACAATAGACAAATGTCTAAAAATCAATCAAGCTCTCAATCCCCTCAACCGTGAACGTTCTTTAAATAAAATGTACAGAATATATAAAAGATTTCAAAACAAAATGAAAGCACGCGTTATAAATTTCATGCGTCCGAAGCGCTTTTTGGATTTACCTTCACCAGGACAGGAACGTTCAAAGCCGAATAATTGAAAGCGAAATAATTTTACCTTTTCTACCCACGAGGCGTTTTATGCACGTAGTTGTGTTGACTTTTGTCTATTGTTAAAGCCGATTGTTGACTTTTGGATGTTTGTAAAATAATTTTATGATTGATTAACTAGATATAATCCAAAGCCGACACTAGTTTTTTACAGGACATCTTGGCTTTGGTTGACATCTAGATATAACTAAGACACGCTTTTAAAATAAGGATAGACTTATATTAAAATAAATGCGATGAGTTAGAATCCCTCATACAAATATGTTTGACAAATTTCATAAATACGAATACTGATATCTGACAAACTATGCCTTACAAAGATATCACATTTGTCGGTTGACAAGTTTTAAAACTGTTTGATACTGTTTGATTTCAGTTTGCATGGGACTTAACAATCGGTCCTATTACCAAAAACATCAAACATGTATAGTGAAGTAAAGTAAATGATTCCTAACATAACTACCATCCCACTTCTTGCAAAACACCTCTCGTAGACGACAGAAAGCATTCTTGTCGTCGTCATTATACCTCGTGGACGTTAAACTATGTTTGAAGTTACATTCAATGACCTTCTTCTATTGATGCAGACGGCATTGGATAAACATCACAACACAAGACTAAGGTCTCTTCGTATGAAGCTGTCAAAATAAAATTTTGCCAACTGCAATATGTCTGACACTCTCATTTCGAATTCTGATCAGTAAAAGATTTTTGCTATCATCCAGGATAGAATATATCACAAACTTTTCAGACTTATTGGTATTTACAAAGACAACAATGAAAAGGGCAAAGCTTTAATTTAATATAGGTAATATCATGACGTGCAATCTCTAGGTTTTTGTGTAGTGTTTTGTAAACTGGTCACTTTTTCGTTTCCTTTTTTACCATGGTGTTTTCTGTGGTGTTGTCCGTTGTAACAACCTCAGTTTAGTTACCTCCTCGACATATCACCCCCTTAAATTAACATACATATAAGCGACATTAACCAAAATATATACCTTTTGTTTAACTTTTAAAATAGATTAAACAATTTGTCCAAATCTTCATAATTTCTAAATGTCAAATGCCAGTGAAACCGAAATATTCGAAAAGAAACACTAGACAAAAGAAAAGATCAAACATCAAAGATTTATATGATAATTACTTGTTTCAATTATTTAAACAGGGTGTTGCAGAAAACAGTTTTAAATGTTCCATTCATCCAAATATACACTCTGGCGTAGTACAAGGCGTTACTAGTTTCAATTATTTCAACAGGGTGTTGTAGAATACGATTTTAAATGTTCCATTTATCCAAATATACACTTTGGCGTAGTACAAGGCGTTGCTAGTTTCAATTATTTCAACAGGGTGTTGTAGAATACAGTTTTAAATGTTCCATATATTTAAATATACACTCTGGTGTAGTACAAGGCGTTGCTAGTTTCAATAATTTCAACAGGGTGTTGTATACTACAGTTTTAAATGTTCCATTTATCCAAATGTACACTCTGGAGTAGTACAAGGCGTTACTAGTTTCAATTATTTCAACAGGGTGTTGTAGAATACAGTTTTAAATGTTCCATTTATTTAAATATACACTCTGGTGTAGTACAAGGCGTTGCTAGTTTCAATTATTTCAACAGGGTGTTGTATAATACAGTTTTAAATGTTACATTTATCCAAATGTACACTCTGGAGTAGTACAAGGCGTTACTAGTTTCAATTATTTCAACAGGGTGTTGTAGAATACAGTTTTAAATGTTCCATATATTTAAATATACACTCTGGTGTAGTACAAGGCGTTGCTAGTTTCAATTATTTCAACAGGGTGTTGTATAATACAGTTTTAAATGTTCCATTTATCCAAATATACACTCTGGTGTAGTACAAGGCGTTGCTAGTTTCAATTATTTCAACAGGGTGTTGTATAATACAGTTTTAAATGTTACATTTATCCAAATGTACACTCTGGAGTAGTACAAGGCGTTACTAGTTTCAATTATTTCAACAGGGTGTTGTAGAATACAGTTTTAAATGTTCCATATATTTAAATATACACTCTGGTGTAGTACAAGGCGTTGCTAGTTTCAATTATTTCAACAGGGTGTTGTAGAATACAGTTTTAAATGTTCCATTTATTTAAATATACACTCTGGTGTAGTACAAGGCGTTATTAGTTTCAATTATTCAACAGGGTTTTGTAGAACACAGTTTTGAATGTTCCATTTATCCAAATACACACTCTTGCGTAGTACAAGGTGTTGTTCCAGATTGTAAGGCTGGTATCTGAGTTAACCAGAAGTCCATTCGGTCTTTGTACAAGTTATTCTGTATCAACGGATGGACATCGAGAAGAGCATACTGCTTTGTTACAAGGTCATACTCTGGCCATTTTGGTACACCATTACCATTTACATTTCTAAAACAATCAAGAAAAAAATAGGAAAACGTTGAAATATCTTCTTAAATGGTCATTCCAAATAAAATACAAATAGAAAATAATCTTGTTACTTGTTTTTCTTATTATAAATCATTTTAATAATCATTATTTTTACAAAAGAATTTGTCCTTGTGCTGAAAACTTGAATGGGAACACCCCTGTTTAAATGTAGTATTAAATAGTATCTTCTTCTATATCATGCTGATTGTGATAGTAATCCATTCGAGATTTTTGCATTTGAAATGAGTAAATGAAAGAAGCAAGATGTGAAAATTGATAATTTATTAGGTATAAGGTTTAAAAAAATATGTTGCTCAAATGATGGCTCTAGGGTTATTTTTTCAAACAAAACATTGCCAGAGATTACTCGTGATAATTTTATTCTTATACGGTTGTCGCACACGAAATTCACCAAACAGGCGGAACATATATGAATATTCTATTTTAATTCACACAATTTTAATGTTGGAATACATAATATGTAAATTATTTTATTTGATGGAAGAATTTGCCAGAATTTATTAAAAAAAAAAGAAACTTTTTTTGTTAAGTAAGTCTAAATATAATATCATTTTTCAACTTGAGAAAAGAGTCATTAAAAAAAAAGTCGCCTGTAAATACAAATCGTTAGCTATTGTGTATATTTTCAATAGGTTTTGAATCTTGTTTGAATGATGTCTCATTGACATTTAATCCTACATATTCTTTTGTTTATAACTATATATGAAGTTTTATTTTACTTACCCAGTCTTTGCAAAATTACTCCAATATTTCATCATCTTCAGACTGAAAGAAATGTCATCATCGGTTGCAGACGGCAATGTTGATTTGAATGGGAAAATATATGGTAAATCATCACCATGAGCTGATCCTTTAAACCACTGGTAACGATTGAGGTAACTCGAAAATATAGATCTTCTTTTGTTGACATACTGAAACTGTTTTGTTTTATGATTGTTTATGGCATGAATGTTCAAACTTTGAACAGCAGGACTGTGGAAAAATAGGTCACTAAAAGAGTTTATAACATTTTGACCTTGATCCGCAATTGAGCCTTTATTTTGATATTTTTGACATATAGCATTACCTATAGCAGTACTGTTACGATAAAAATCTTCAGTAAGTGGTTGAACAATATGCTTACACATATAATCAGACGTTATTCCTTCTGATATGTTGAAGGATAATTTGTTCTGTAATGATTCCAGTGGTTCAAGCAATAATGACCCTTCTGATTCACATGTTCCTATTATAACGTCTAACGACCTAAAGAACTCAACAGCAGGTGAACGCTGATTTTGCATTAATTTACTTGGGTCATCCTTGAAATATGGTGCCCAGTAACCGATTTGATGAATATCAAGTGACCCTGAACTATATACGGGTAGTGATATCGATGCATTTAGAATTTCTTCAGCACTTTTACTTTGCATGCACAATGTTCGTTCAGACGGCATACCATTTCTACAGTTAAGTGACTGAATTACCATTTCACTTCCCAAAAAATGTTTAGGGGTATCAGAAAAAAAGCTGTTACTTGTACCACTTTGCTCAATTACCCGATGGAAAAGTCCCTTGTTTGCAGGAAATATTGCTTGCAAGCCTACACTAAATCCACCGGCCGATTCTCCAAACAAAGTAATGGATTGCGTGTTACCACCAAAACTTTCAATATTATCGTTAACCCACTGAATTGCTTTTCTCTGATCATTGAAGCCATAATTACCGTCTGACATACCGTCTGAAGTTGTAAAAAATCCAAACACATCTAACCGATAATTTAAAGTAACAACAATGACATCTCCAATGGCACTTAGGAAAGAACCGTCGTAAAACATGCCCTGTCCCAAAACATATCCACCGCCATGAATCCATATCATAACTGATTTTTTATGTTGCTCTGAGGCACTAGCAGGTACGTAAATATTCAAAAATAGACAGTCTTCGCTCAGCTTTAAATTTGGCAAGAATTCATCATAGCCTGGAGTGTATTGTTGAAAACACGATGGACCGAATTGTGTTGCATCTAATGTTCCATTACATGGACCATATGAAGCTGGATCTTTAAATCGAAGATCTCCGACTGGTGGTTTAGCGTATGGTATTTTCTTGAAAACAGTATAAACGTGTGTGATATTGTCAAATGAAACTGTTGACGAGATTCCCTTGACAGGACCAAGATTTGTTTGAACAGTAACTATGTCATCACTAATGACAGATATAACCATAAGTGACACAACAGTAAGCAAATGTTCCATAGTAGCTGGTCTCATCTAAAACAAATTTTCTCAGAATTAAATTTACTGTTTTATCAAAAAAAACAAAGTTATTTTGCTTTCTTCACATGAAAATTCCTTGTTAACATCTTATTGATCTCAACCCAAAAAAAACATTTGAGTGTCATTTCAAAGATTTCAACGACAATTTACTCTGTTCGTGTTGTTTAGTCTTTAGTTGATTTTTTTATCGATTTTTGTCATAGCATTATCAGTTCATTTTCGTCTTATGACTTTGATTATTCTATTGCTATCTTTCGTTTCTCTTTTGCTAGTTCAAGATTGCTGTTTTACCAGACAAGATGGGGCCATGGGACGTCAATGCTTGTCCCAAGCTTGTTAGGCAAAACAGCCGTTGGACGTCAGAGCAATATAGGACTACTCTTTTGCTTGGTATAACAAATAATAATAAATAACACAAACATAGACTATCCAAATATTATGCAGCAAATCATTTTTTTTAACTTAAACTATCATGAAAATACATTTTTTTTTTAAATCCTGTATATAAAAAAAAAGAATACGCTGAAATTGGAAATTGGAAATTAATCTATGAAATGGGTAGACTTATAAATTAGAGGCGAAATATATCAATGGGACATTTAAACTCATTCACTACGTTATACTTCTAACGCTTATTCATAGACATTTACCTAGCTACCAAAAAAAGCTCATATATATTGCTTACATTCATTCTAAAATTCTTAAGATCGGCCATCATTACTGTAAAAAAAGCCCTCCTACTATCGCGTCATAGATATTACAGAAAACATATAAATTAAGGCAACATCAGTTAAACGATATAAAAATCTCATAAATCAATTAAGAATACAAATCAAAGTAACAAACACAAACTGTAGAAATCACATGAACTCCTAAAGGAGAGAGACTGAGTCTTGCGGGCGTACAAATTCGAGTGAAAAGTAAAATAACTTAAATACCGAACTCCATGGAAAATTCAAAACGGAAAGACCTTTATTAAATGGCAAAATCAAAAGCTCTAACACATCAAACGTATGGAAAACAATTGTCATATTCCTGACTTAATACAGGCATTTCTTTATGTAGAAAATGGTGGATTAAACCTGGTTTTAAGGCTAGCTAAACCTCTCACTTGTATGACAGTCGCATATAATTCCATTATATTGACAACAATGTGTGTGCAAAGCAAACTGACATAATAGGTGAAAATGTCAAAAATTAGGGTACAACAGTCAACATTGTGTTATAATCTTAATCACTATAAAACCAAATAACTATTTCAACAAAGATGGCATATAGACTCTATAGACAAAGTACATAAGCAAATATAAAACAAGAATACAAAAAGGACCATTATAGCACAATAACACAATAGTGGGATGTATAAATACCGAGCCACGCCAAAAGTATATTACCAAAAAATGGACTAAACAGTAAAGGTTAAAAATATACTAAGACAAATACAATGAACACTGTAACAGTAATTTATCGTACTCAGACTCAGAGTTCAACTAATCAATTTGGTGTTTCGAGCACAAATTGTGCACTCTGACTACTGAGTAAAGTTTTATGACAGAGATTTCAGGTGCTTCGATAGGGTAAAGTTACAGACCACACGACTATTCTGATATTTAATGATTTAAGACTCCGAACACTTGTCGCTAGCGAGTTGAGACACATACATATCGTATAGGACAACCGATTCGTGATGGTGACAATAAAACTTATGTAGTGTCGATTTCAGACGTTCTTTGTTATAACACTGTTGTAGCAGTTTTAAGTCAGGAGCATACCTCTGTTTATAAAGTATGAATAGTGTGAAAATACATTAGCGTAAGGTATCAATTTAGACATTAAACACCATACGATGGCACAGAGGGTATGCTACTGCTAAGAAATGGGAAGTTGTCAATTGGAAATTTAAAATAAACACTTTTGTTAAGTACAATCAATGATAAACTATAAAATGAATATGTAAGAAAAAATGATAGCAATTATCATGTACTTAAGTTGTTTATTAAACGAGTTATTTTGAATACAAAATATCGAGTATTTTAAAGTTTAACAATAAATGTATTATCTATTTTGGTTCAATACGTATTTAAGCTAAATATTCTTAAAAAAATTATAACTGCTCCCGATGCTGCATTGTAACAAAAACACCACTGTCCCAGGTTATGGGGAGGGTTGATCGCTCACAAACATGTTTAACCCCGCATCATTCTTTATGTGCCTGTCCCAAGTCAGGAGCCTGTAGTTCAGTGGTTGTCGTTGGTTCATGTCATTCTAATTTGTTTTTCGTAAATTGTTTTGGTATAAATTAGGCCGTTAATTTTCTCATTTGAATTGTTTAATATTTTTAATGTCGGGGCGTTTTTAAAGCCGACTATACGGTATGGGTGTTTCTCGTTGTTGAAGTCTGTACGATTGCCTATAATTGCTACATCCACTTCTTTTGAACTTTGGTGGATAGTTGTCTCATTGGTAATTATACCACATCTCCTTATTTCAACTTCTCATTAATGTTTTATAAGTCGACTGCCATCAAATAAAAATAAACAATTTTTAAACACAACGAAACTGTTCAGTATAACATGTAATTTGAGAATTAAATAATTAAGAACTACATACCTTAAAAATTTGAAAAATAATCTACGTGTATATCCTGCTTATCACTGAACAACAAAGATTGTATATAGAGACAATAATATTTGTCCTTCTAGTCCTCTTTAATGACTGTGTATGATGAAAATTAGGCAAGAGATTACAAAATGCCTTACTGAGAATAGATTTTGTCAAGCCTTCACCTTATCGCTCTCTTTTATTCAGATCTTGTTTTCATTTCAAATTCTATCATATCTAAGGACATAAAAGTTTGCCAATAAGACACCAACCAAACGACAAAAGTAACAAAAAGACTGCGTCAGATCTAATGGTCAATATACAATTTTTAACGATAGAAAGATGTCTAAAAATCTGTCAGCTCTCAATCCCCCAACTTGAACGTTTTTGAATAAAATATACAGAATATATTAAAGATTTGCAATTAACACTAAATGTATTTAACTACTATATTATGAAGCCTAAAGCATGATAAAAGACAGCCTTTCACAAGGTTCCTAACCCGGAAAGGCTTTATTTATTGTCTTTGAAAAAGGAAAATTTTCACGATTGGTTATATTCGCTATTTTTTTAAGGCTAAATTCGTCAATATACCCCCACGAGTAAATTTGAATTTTAAGGAATATCAAAACGAAGAGAAGAAAAACACAAAATTTAAATTCTCGCGAACATGGTTGACGCTTGAAATTGCGAAATATATAATAATTATATAATTGTAGAAATGAAATTTAAATTAATATTATGAACCTTTGAAATACCTTTTCTATGTGCAAGTACAGTATCGAGTTTGGCAGCCCTCTTTGGAATTTTTTGTTATCGTCAAACAGTCGATCTTAACTTACGATGCATGGTACAAATACGGAATGTGTTAACAGTAAATACTCGATACATGGTACAAATACGGAATGTGTTAACTGTAAATAAACGATACATGGAATAGATATGGAATGATATCTTTATTAATTAACTACAGAGTTTCCAGAGATGCAGCTAATCGTCGGACCTGTTGGACATAGGGGGAAGAATTTTAGAGGGTCCGGCAAATGACGTCTTTGTGTCATACCCAATGACCAGCACATATTTTTACTGTTTGGGGCTGTCAAAATTGAAATTTCTGTTAGTTCTGGTTACCTTAGCTTCCAAATTAATTATGTAGTTGTTTTTGTGTATTTTGTTTCCTTTCACAAGATTTTAACATGTTCTACCTTCAAATTGAACTATCCAAATCCAAATAAATAAAACTAGGAGTTGCATATGATTGTCAATGAGACAACTATCCATAGACCATGACCAAAGAACAAAGACTTAAACAATAGACTACAGGTCATCCTTCAACAATTCATATGCCTGGTTCGGGTTGAAAAATATATGATACGGAAAAATCAATATTGGCCGAGTTATTCTGTATTGGCCGAGTTGACACTTTGTATTGCAAAGGCAGTTTTCATCATATTAAGCTAGTCCACTAACAGAGTAGTTAATTAATAATTTGTGTTAATAGTAAATATACGATACATGGAACAAATATTGAATGTGTTAATCATAAATACATGATACATGGTACAAATATGGAATGTGTTAACAGTAAATAACGATACATGGTACAAATATGGTATATGTTGACTGTAATTCTAATATGACGTGCTTCTTTCGCTTTGTAAACAACACAACGACGTATAGTCATCAATGTGCTGATGGATCATCGTACGATGTAGATGTAGATGTGACAAAATCTATACTTAGCGCAGACCCAGAGATGAACATATAAATTGCTGTTACAATTTCCCTCCCACGTAAATCCACATGTATCATAACCTATGTGCAAACACGATGTTGTTTTCGCTGTGTTCAAGTTGATATTGGAAAAAAGCTACATAACAGTTATTCCTATTCAAATCCGATTGTTTATCGACAGTGTTGTGCAGTCCACACGAATTATTGGTCCTTTCTATACGTTATTTTTGCCAAGATATCTAATACATATTGGGATGAAAACGTGGATGTCTAAATGTTTGAATAATTCTGCAGTTTTGGGTCTAATCCGTTAGATTTATCAGTTTCAACTTTTAAAAAGTACAACATGAAAGGAAAAAGATAACAAACATACTATTTCTTCACAATGTTTTTATTGAATGGTTCATCTAACGACCCATTTTTGCAATGACCTTTTATTCTTAAACAAATTTAAAGTCGTTCAAATTACTGATTTATCAAAAGATTTATTTTTTATCTTTCAAAGGTAAGACATAAAATATTATTCCTTATAAGCATTATTTTGATAGGTTTTTCTAGGTATACATTTCGTTGTGAATAAAAAAGAGCGTTTTATCTGAATTTTTATTTTTTAAATGGATATTCATCACTAAACGTCATGTACA